GTAGTGGGAGGGGAAACCCAGCAGGAGCAGCTCGGAGTGGGAGCGAAGCCTGCCTCAGCTGGTTTCGCTCCCCTCTCTGCTTGGCTCCAGCCACTGGAAGCCCTATTCTTGCAGGAATCTTCCTGCAACGGGCCTCTAGTCCTATATAATAAAAGCCTAATATAATATGCTAAGTATCCGGTCATCCAGTCGGCCATTCAACCAAAGTGTAATATGCTAATGATATGCTAAGGCCACTCAACTGCTCGTTATGATGTGCACTGACCATGAGGGGGCAGTTGACTAGTCGCTATGACGTGCCCTGACCACCAGGTGGCAGACGATCTCACCTGTAGGTTAGCTTGCTGCTGGGGTCCGGCTGACCAGAACTGAGCAAGACAGGCTGGACACACTCTGGAGCCCTCCAGCAGTCCCTCCCCGGCCCCAATTGTGCACCAGTGGGGTCCCTAAGCCTGGCCCTCTCGCAATCCGGGCTGAGGGACCTCCCCTAAGTGCACAAATTTTGTGCACTGGGCCTCTAGTTTTCATCATAAAACAAAGCAAATTTAAGTACAGCAACATAAGACCATTATCAGAAATTAAGAATTTATGTCAGTGCCCTGGCCAGGTATGGCTCAGTTGGTTGGGCGTCATCCCATATACCAAAAAGGTTCTGGGTTGGATTCCTAGTCGGGGCACGTACCTGGGTTGCAGGTTTCATCTCTAGTGGGGGTGCATGTGGGAGGAAAACCATCAATATGTTCTCTCTCTCTCTCTCTTTCTCTCTCTCTCTCTCTCTCTCTCTCTCTCCCCGCCCTCTCTTGCTCTCTCTCCCTGCCCCCTCTTTCTCTCCTTCTCTCTCCTCTCCACACCCCCTCCCCACCTCTCAGTAAGTATATCCTCTAGTGAAGATTTAAAAAAAAAGAAAGAATTTATGATTCTGTTTCTAAGGCAAAAGCTTTAAAAATCATTTGGTGCCACTCTCTTACTTTACACATAAACAGATACTTTGGGATGGATGGGGAAGTATACCAGAAACCTCTATTCTACCATGTGAAAGCCTTTACAGGTAAGAATAAGCAACTACTACTTCAGACCTATTAAGGCACTGGAGATTTATTCCCTGATCCAGGCACTATTCTCTGTACAGATCAGTATTTTATACTTAGGAATTAAAAAGGCAGAAATAAACACTGAATTGTTCTGGTAATAAGCCAAGCCCACACTCTGGCTCTTTTATTTCTATACTAGAAGCCCAGTGCATGAAATCACGAAACTCCACCCACTAGTCGCCCCGCCTCGCTCACAGCCCCACCCACCCACACGCACCCACCCACCAGCACCAGTCTTTGGCCATTACAGCATTAGGGCCACAGGCTTTTTATATATATATATAGATGCTCCAAAGTCCAGAACGTCAGGACACAATAGCTAGTTTTATATACATGTCATAAGAGTATACAGCCATTAAATATCTTATATTTTTAAGCTATACAAGGACACAGAAAAAAAATCAAGGTACTAAGTGAAAAACAGTAGTCTACAAAGCAGTATATTTTCATTTACTGATAGGCAGTTAGACAGACATGAGCAGAGCAAGGATGATGGATCAGTACAGAAGGTCATCAGGATGGAAAGCCCTGGGTACCAGACAAGGGGCAAAACAGAGAAAACATGGGCCTCATCCCCAGGCTAATCTTTCCTCCTAACATATCCCTGGTTATGCAGTTTGAACTCCTTGATCGTTCATATTGATGATCATGGCTTTAGACCCTCTGATCTTTTCCTTCCTAATAACATCTAGGCTTCAGATGTATTTCAGCTCCAGGCCCAGAAAAGCAGCAAAACCAGACAAGTAATATCATGGTTGCCTCAGGACTACCTACAATGACTAATGACCCCCTGGTTCCAACCAATTAGTGGAGACCAGGACCGTGAAAGAGCACACCTGGAAAGCTTAAGAGTATTCTATTGCGACCCTTCACTGAGACCTTCCCTCAGATTCCTGCCAGCAAAAGATAAATACCTTTGACACAAAGGACCCCATTCCCTTCCTCCTCTTCTACCCCTCCAGGCATATATCTCCTAAACTCCAAAGAACCCCACAAGACTTGCAACCAGGGAAGCAATGGGAATGGCAGCTTGTTCTGGGCTAATAACCCTCTAAACCTGTCTTCAAGGCCCTCTTTTTCTCTGACTTCCCAGTGAACCAAAGCTGCCCAACCTAGGCTCTCCTATTTGCATCTTCCTTGTTTCACTGTCCCAAATGTCTTTTTGCTGCAGCCAATAAATTCTTGCTGGTTTTGTTGCACTGTTTCTTTTTTAAAAAAAGAAAAAAAATTTTATTTATTTCAGAGAGGAAGGGAGAGGGAGAGGGATAAAGCGAGAAAAACATCAATGATGACAGAGAATCATTGATCGGCTGCCTCATGCACACCCCCTACTGGGGATCAAGCCATAACCCAGGTATATGTCTTGACCAGGAATCGAACTGTGACCTCCTGATTTATGGGTCCATGATCAACCACTAAGCTATGCTGGCAGGGCTGCACCTTGTCTCTTGATTAAAATCTTTCAAGAAGACTAGAACCAAGGTCTCATTGTCTCCCTGTAAAAAAAAAAAAAATTATCTGTAAAAACTGCATATTCAGGCCCTGGCCAATGTGGCTTGGTTGAGCATCGTCCCATGCACCAAAAGGTTGCTGGTTCAATTCCTGATCAAGGCACAGGCCAAGGTTGTAGGATCAATTCCCAGTAAGGGGTGTGCAGGAAGCAGATGATCACTGTTTCGCTTTCACATCAATGTTTCTGTCTCTATCTCTCCTTTCTGTCTCTCTAAAAATTAATTTTTAAAAATCTTTAAAAAATGCATATACAGGATCTATTCATTGTGCCTACTGTTCACCAGGCACTTTCTGGGGAACGGAAAGTCTCTGTCTTCAGAAAGCCTGTGTTTTAGGAGAAATGGGAAGCAAATAGTATGGGAGGACAGCACACTATTACACAGTATTTCATCAATTATCTGCAATATGCCAACTTTTAACAAAGATAAAATCAATATTCATCTCACAAACCACAGATATTCTAACACTGCCTGTTTAGTTGGAAGTGTTTCTCCTTTTTTAGTTGGTAATGGTGGTGGGGCACAAACAATGGCATTACAAATTCTATAAAACTAGAGGCCAATGCACAAAATTAGTCCAAGAGTAGGCCTTTGCAGCCCCGACTGGCCCCGCGGCCCTGCCCTCCACCCACTGGTCGTTCCAGAAGGTTGCTCTGCCTTCCGGTCTAATTAGCATATTAGCTCTTTATTATATAGGCCTAGAGGATTGGTGCAAGAAATTCGTACGGGGGTGGGGGGGTGGGGGGGGCGTGTCCCTCAGCCCAGACTTCACCCTCTCCAATCTGGGACTGCTGGCTCTCAACCGCTCGCCTGCCTGCCTGCCTGATTGCCCCTAACCGCTTCTGCCTGCCAGCTGATCAATGCCTAATTGCTCCCCTGCCAGCCTGATCAATGCCTAACTCAGGGGTGGGCAAACTTTTTGACTCCCCCAC